CAGCTCTCCCCCTGTGACAGAGAGCAGCTGGGACATGGAAGTGGAAGAAAGCCCTGCAGCTGGGCAGGGCAAATTCCACACCGTCATCAACTTTCCATCTGACAGGTAAAGAGGACTTTCTTTTCCAGCACCTAGCATCATTGTTTGGGTGGGTTTTTGTGTTTTTCTTTCCATGATTTCTAGTGTCAAAACTTGCTGAAACTAAGTTATGCTACTGGTGGGGTTTTCCAGATGTCAGGGCCACGGACCTGAAACCAATTGCAGTTCTCATCTAAGCAGAGCTGTTGGTCAGACTTGCTGGCACTAGAAATTAAACATGGCAGTGAGATGAGGCTGATGAGGTGCTAATGTAAGAGTCAGAGATGCTTCTGAACTTCCTTTATGGCTGCACGGTTCCTCAGAAAGCAGCTCCATCAAAGCCATCCCTCAGATGCTGTGCTGTACAGCTGTGGAGCCTTTGCTCACATGCTCTGCATCTTGCTTGACAGAGGTGAGGGGAATTCAGCCAGAAAGACTTCAGGGCTGAGCTGCAGAATGGAGCCATCCTCAACTGTTGGAAACAGAGCGAGTTTCTAAGTTGTGTTTCTGCAGAAACCAGGCAGTGCTAGGAACAAGCAACTGCTGCCAAGAGCTCAGTGCTGCTCTTCCCTCACCCTGCACAACACACGACTCACAGCACTGGCTGTTTTCTCTCTCCAGGCAAAATCCACCCAGCAAGAATGAGGAATCACCAGCCAGCAGTTGGTGTTGCTGCTTAAGCCTCAGAAAGCCATCCTCTGGCAGCAAACGCCAACTGCAGCGCAATGCCAGGCAGCCCTCAGAAACAGCAGTGGTAGTCCTGGCAGGTAAGGGTGCAAATGCAGCTTCCAAATCCCTGCTTTTCAGGAACATCGAATTCAAGCTTGCAATGCACTTGTATCTCCTTCTGGCATTCCAGCCCCTGCCTAGCATCTTCAGTTCACCCCTGATCAAGAACCACTGTCGTAATTCAGCTTGTGAAAGTTTGACACTAACCCCTGTGTATCCTTTCTAGGTGAATCGGGCCCTTGCCAAACCACAAGATCCAGGGCAAGTAGCGAGGATGCTCTCTGTGCTTCCATCAGTGGAGAGCTCATAGGAAGCATGAATCGCTGCAGTTCCAACAGCAGCCTTACACATGACAACAGTGATGGAGAGAAGGAGCTCATTCAAGTTCATGCTCTCATTACACCTGGCTCTGCTGAAGTTGCTGACCTGGGCCTGCCAGACACCACAGTCACAAGTGTGGTTTGTAACCAGGAGTCTCTGCAGTGCAGCCCATCCCAAGCACAGTGTGAGTGCCCCGACAGCAGCACCTCCATGCAGGAGCAGGTCGGCGTCAGTGAGGAGGAGCAGAGCCTCTTGCAGGGGGACTTTCAATCAGGCCTCCAGTCCCAGGCACCGGACAGCAGCACTGAGAGCTCTGAGCCACTCTCTCCATGACAAGACAGGATGAGTCCCATCGTCACCATCGACCTCTCACTCTCCTGTCTTTTATACAATAATAAAAGCACACTTGTGCTCAACCAACGCCTTGACTGCCTCCAGAGTCTTCATTCGCACGGACTGGGATGAATGCAGCACACAGCAAGGCACCCCAGCTTGCAATGCTGTGGCTGTTGGGTTTATGCAGCACAGCTCCGGGTTTGTTCCCATTTTGTCTGGCTTTGAGATGTCTGCAGGGGGAGCTCTGCTACCATTTGGCATGGTAGCAAATAATCTCTCGCATCCTGGATGCTGCTCATGATACTCCCAAGCTTCCTGGCTGTGGCTTTGTGATGCTTTTCAGGGCTTTCTGATGCATTTTCATGCCTTGGCCGCTCCTTAACGCCTCTCTCTCTCCTCCCATCATGTCCTTTCCTGGCTCCCAC